AGCGGGGAATGTGGAACCGGCGCCAGCTGAAAACATTGTAGCCTTCAACTCCACCATCTTGCCTTGATGTGCACTTTATCAAGGCACACAGCCAAGAGCATAAACTCTGCCTCCACTGGGACAGAAGAAGGAAGTGTCAGGCTAGAAGAGTGGGAGCTTCTCTTGTGAATCATTGCATCCAGCATGGGATCCGTGTCCTTTTGGGAAGTTATATGTGCGAGCTGTCGCACAGTGAAGGATTTGTATTTCCTGCCATGCAGTCTGGTGGATGGTACAGCGGGGAGAGGTGCCATATTTCCTGTTGAGTCTTATGCGGTGCAAATCAAACAAAAATCCCAGCTAAGCCCAGAATGTTTTACAGGAATGCACCTTCTCTGTCAATACTTGAAGAAAAAGAGGAAAAACAAAAACAAAAACCTCTCCTTCCCTCCCAACCCCTTCCCCATCTCTCCGGTATCAATGCTTTTGGACAGGGGACCAAAATATTTTCTCTGAACTGCGTTGTGTCCGTATGCCCATGTTCTGACCGCAGAACATTCTGGATGAGGAGGTGCTGATAAGCACTTCACCTTGCTGATGCTTAGGTGTTTCTGTGTGCTTTGCACTTCAGTCGTTATGAAAAAACATGCTCAGTGAATGTGGATGAAGTCTGAAGTGCACTTCCCAAATGAGAGCCACATTTGCCTGCAGTGGAGCAAGGTGACAGGGGGTGATGTTTCAGCTCTACCTGAATTATTGATTCACTGCCTGAGGATAGTGGAGGGGTTATACAGAGACACTTGGAGGGCATCTCAGGAGGAATTTTGCAGCCTTATCTGACAGACATACATGTTTGTCCTAAAAATATCAGGGAAACCCTCACAGGGAAGAAGTGGCAATATTTTATTAGTTGATATATTGAGATTTTGTCAGAAAAAGAGGAGACAGATTTTTCTGCTCTCTAAATCCTGTACATTTATGCAGTGTCTAAAGGTTAATTTAATAAATTAAGACTTAACAGTTAGGTCCTGTTATAGTTCGACTTTCATGTAAAGAGCAGACTTGTTTGTGTTGTCTGAGGAACTGGCACAACTGTTGGTGCTTCACTTTTGGAGCAGCCCTGGGAGCCCAGTATGGAGAAGATGGCTTCTCCATACTTGGCATTTGCATTGGTTGTAAGGATCAGTGAGGGCAGAAGAGGTCCAGGTGAATAAAACGATGGTCAGACCCACGCCTGCACTGATGAGAAAGCTGTGGGAAGAGCTTGTGTCCACAGCCAGCCTCATGCCAGAGCAAATTCTCAGCCCCTGAAATTACCGTAAATTCAAGGTAAGATTTTTACCTCTAAAACCATTTTACAGGACTGCACTCTACACTGGAGCTTCAGGGTCCCCATACAAAGCTTAAAAGGCTGCTGCTGGTCTCATGCTTCTGTGGGGAGTGTGACACTGAATGCTCCTCACGACTCTCAGCAATGAAGGGAGTTGTTGAGTAGTGAGCAATGGAGGTGTGCAGCACACAAGCAGTGTCTGAAGTGGTACTAGAGCTGCTTGCTTTTAGGCTGATGGAACAGATGCTAATTCAGAATAGATATTTGTTATTAATTCCATGGTGCTTCACAAGCCCATCAGGCTCCACTGTTGTGGTAGAAAACGGAACATGTGAGTTCTGGCACACAAAATAAATCTTGTCAAATCATCTGGCTGCCTCAGTCTGGGTTTTGTCCCTGATGAAGTTAGCTGTATTTAAGGAAGTTTCAATGTGCAGTGTGCAGCTATGGTGAGAAGTATGCGAGAGTGCTATGCCCATCGCTCCATGCAGCCTTTGCTTGAATGCAGTTACTGAATAGCTAAGAAGAGACAGCTTTCAGCCTTCTGCCCAAGCTAGAGCAGTCTTTTTAATGAGGGAAAGTACTTTTCCCATGTAGACAATAAGAATAAAAAACAGAGAATGGCATTATGGCCACTTTGCTGAGGGAGAGCTGGCAATCTTTTGGTGATCCTAATATCAGACAGAGGGAAGATGGGTGATTTCTCCTCTGTCCTTTCACATCTGGCTTAGGTGTAATCTGTAGTACCTAAAGGCAACAGCTTGTGTTCTTCTGTAGATAGTGGTGAGAATGATGTGCATCCAGGATGTAATCCACTGTCCTTGGCTTCTGTGATAGGAGTAACTCCTCTTCTTCACCAGAGATGATAACCATCAGAGACTGGAGTAGAAAATAGGGTACAATCCTGGCTCCAGCACTGCTGGCAGGTTTTGAGGATTTTGTACCCGTGCTTTAGCTGGCTGGGTGACTGCTCCTTCTGTCACACCTTTAGCCCAGAGCTGCCTACCTCATGGGAACTCCTTAGTGTGCATGTAAAGAACTACTGTTGCTCAATCCAATTTCCTAAAGGCCAGTGTCCCCACTGTAAAAGTTGCCATCACAACTGTTCTTCTGTTCTTAGCACAATGAGGACTCTGAGCTGGTGTTTAAGCATTGTGGTGGTAAACATGATTAACACTAATTGGCACTAGTTGGCAGCCTTTGTGGAGGAGCTTGGAGAGAGCTCATGGGGACAGAGGCTATTGTGTAGTCCACAAGCTCAGCGACTGCTGTTGGTTGTCTGAAGAAGATGGGCTGTGTGCTTGCTGGCTTGATAGCTAGCAAGAAATCTTGTGGGAGCAGAGCCAGGTTTCACCCTTAGGCTGTTGCCCCTCTTCTGAAACAACCCAGAGCTCTTCCCCCTCAAATGGAGGTATGACAAGCAACAGGAGTAGGTGGTCCCACAGCCATACTGTGAGAGGACGTGGCCATCCAGGGCAGTGGCCAGGCCACCACGATGCCCAGCTAACTATCCCCAGGTAGCCCACCGGTGTCACATACCGCAGCACAGAGGGCTCGTCCCGACCATCAGTATATCCCAAAGCACAAGACCAGGGAACCTGGTGTCACCAGAGCAGGGAAGCTGACTCCTGATTCTCATTTCTGTCACAGAGGAGTTTTAAGAAGTTTTGCCTGAGTATGTGGTGAGTTTTGCCTCACATTCCCGGCTTTCATGTACATCCTGGCCATGTCCTATCCCTGAGGCAGAAGGGAATGAGTTGCTTGTCATTTCCTGTGTATCAACCTATCAACCACATGGGTTCCAGTGGGTCCTTGGCTGGGGGTGGAAGGAAAACCATGGGCCACTGTGCAGAACAGAGCTTCCCTGCAGCAAGATGCGGCCAGGCTGGGGGCCCTGATCCCCCATGTGCAGGCTGCACTGCAGGGTGCTGGCTCCATCAGCAGGACTTGTTCATTGCCAGTGAACTGTGGGCCTGGAGGGTTGTTTTATAGCTCAGCAAAGTGAACAGTGAGGGGCCAGCTTTTATTCTGAGAAATGCCTTGTGTGAAAACAATAACATGACTTGTTTTGTCATCATTTTTAATATTTGCCTGGTATGAACTTCTCACTGCCTATGACTGTCTGAAGTTGTTTCATTTTTTTATGTACCAATGCTTTGTGTTATAAATCTGGATTGTATACCTTCGACTTATCTGCCTTAAAGTGGGTCTGTGCCTTCTAGACAACCTCTCAGCCACCTCTCTGTACGATCTGGGGGATATACTGGTTCTCCCACACATTTTATAAATATATGGTCTTCCTACAAGTGCTTCACTATGTCTCCATGTTACTTGCATCACCACACAGCAGGGATTAGATACCCAGTGTTGCTCCCTGTTCTCATGTAGCTGAGCATGTAGGCAGTACTGCAAAGCCAGGTCCCTCTGCCCAACAAGCAGGCAGGAGACTTGCCAGGGGCAAGGGCTGGCAACGAAACAGACTTTCATCCATTTTACCAAGACTTATCTTGTGGAACAGAGCAGAAATGCTGGATAAATACATGTTCCAGAAAAGCAAAATGTATGAGAACCATTCGGTCATGGCATGTACCAGTGACTGAGCACATGGTAAAGGGGCATAGCCAGCCCTGGGAGCACAGGTGGAAACAATTCACCCGTGTGACCAGAAGGAGTGGAACCAATCGCCGTCCTCCCTAACCTCCCTCTCCTCTAGATCTGTCATCATTGTATGTTTGGCACTGGTGAGGCTGCACCTTCAGTATTGTGTTCAGTTCTGGGCCTTTTGCTGCCAGAAGGACATTAATGCCTTGGTGTGTGCTTGCAGAAGGGCAATGAGGCTGTGAGGGGTCTGGAGCAGAGGTCTAATGGTGACTGACTGAGGGAACTGGGATTGATGGCTCCAGAGGAGGTTCAGGAGTGACCTTATAATTCTACAGCTACCCTAAAGGAGGTTATGGTGAGGTGGATTTCAGCTGCCTCCCCCAAGTAACAGTGATAGGATGAGGGGGAGTGGCCACAAGTTGCCCCAGATTGTTTCGAGTTGGTTATTAAGGGATGTTGTGATGCAGTGCAACAGGCTGCCCAGGGAGGTGGTGGAGTCACTGTCCCTGGAGGTGTCTAAGAAATGTTTGGATGTGGCTCTGGAGGATGTGGTTAGTGGACATCCTGGTGTTGGGTCTGTGGTTGGGGACTTGAAGATCTTAGTGCTCTTTTCCAACCTTTATGGTTCTATGATCTCTACGACAAAGTGGAAGAAGAGTGCCTTACCTGATACACAAAACAAATCCAAACTCTACTGAACCTTGCGTTAAATTTAAATTGGCATTCCACTCTATATTTTCTCTGCAACTGTCTTTCAGCTGCAAAAAGAGCCACTGTGACTGGCAGATACAACCTGATGTGGGCCTGTAGTCTCACCCACGTGCTGTTGTTAGCAAGGTCATCTGCACTATTTCCAGAAAAAGTCACCACCTCTTAAAGACAAACTTAGTTCTTTGAAGACAGGTATGGAATGTAAAAGAAATCTACTTATATCTGTTTTTCAAAGTGTCAGTCACTCTGAGTTGCTCCTGAAGACTGATGTGTGGACTTTCTCATGACATTTCTTTCTCAGTTTTGGTAAGAATCTGCAAAATGAAATAGTCAGACTCATTCTGCTATAGAATGAAAAAAAAAAAAAAAAAAAAAACCAAACATTTAATAATCAGAAAAGCATTTCGTTGCTTAAGTAGGCTTACACCAGGCTGTTAAAATCTCAATTACTGTGACTGCAGACTTATAAAAATCTAGGATACAAAGTGTTTACTACTTAAGGAAAATCTGAAAAATCTTCAATTCAAAGACTTGTACTGGAAAGATTTTTCTTTAAAAAGAGTTCCTAGTGTTGTCAATATGGAGATTACATATTTACAACATCGATGTTAGTGATAACACCTTAAATTAAAATGGTAACTTATACAGTAATACCCTACACATTTGTCATGTGTTATCATGGCAATTAGCCCAGAGTGTCTCATGTGTAATGTTTCTCTCCTACCTTTTGTTAGGATGCCCAGTCAGCACTCCTTATACACCCCTATTGATGACATCAGAATACAATACCTATTTTCTGTCACTGTTAATTTCTTAATACTGGAAATATCTGATTGTTTTCATAACTGTTTCTCGTTTCATTTTATTTTTAAACAATTAGGAAAATATTTGATCTCTCTTTAGCTATGTTGACATGCATACTTTCCTATTGTCTCATTATAATTTCCTTCAGTTTGAGAGAGCCGTTCCTCCATCTGAAAGGTAAACTACTAATCAGCATTGCTATCTATATATAGATATAGCAAATCATGTTTAAGAAGCTGAATATCTTATATTTGTTTGTCCTACCAAGTACACTGTTCACTCTTCTCTACAAAATGAGCCAATATTCACTATGTGAGGCAGGCAGCTGCAGTAAGAGGTTTAGAGAACTGTGCTTTGAAATTATGTACCTGCTGCTGTTTCTGCAGCTTTCTCTAGAGATTACTGCAAAATTTGCTCTAGCTTTGAAAAGCAATGGAAATCTTCACCCCTGCAGAACTGCATAAGCCTTAGAGTTAAGGGGCAGGTATGCCACAAAACAAGTACAATTTTGAAAGTTTAGCTCTGTTCTCTGGATTCTTTGCTGGGATCCTGCTGAGATCATTCAAAACATCAAGGAAAGCTTTCCCCACTGGTTGTGCTGTTCAGATCCTGCAGGAAAGACAAAGAATGATGGTAAGGTTGTGGCAAACTTCTCCATGTTGCACAGGCAGAGAGAGGCACTTGGAGCATAGTGGGTCACTTGGCACCATGGCCACGCCACAGGTGGGGGCTGCCAGCCTCAGCATTCCCACCCTTTTAGATCCCAAGCCAGCAGTGTTTTATGGAGGCTTTTGGCCTTCACACTAAATATCATGGGTCTGTCAAGCTTTTTTTGCTTGCTGTTGCCCTATTATATTCCTCTTAAGCTGTGTTTACACACTGCTGGATAAGTAAGGAAACAGGAACTTTGCTTCTTGACCTAAAGCACCTTGACCTCATCTGACCTGATGTCTGAACCCAAGCGTTTGGTTGGATCTCAGGAACAAGGCGCTCTCGAGTTAGCTTCTTAAAATGAGCTCTGCCAACTGCACTGACCATTGTAAAGAGCCCTTTTCCCCACTGACCCCCAACACCTTCCCTTTCTCAGATAGTGCTGCCATCTTCAGGTATCTCCCCATGCATCTCATTTTATTTCCCAAACGTAGCTCCCAATCACAACTGCTGTTGCACCTGCCTCAGATCTGCAGTCTTCTGAGAACAGAACTGCTTGCTGGTGATGAATACCAGCAGTTGGAGTGTTTGGTGTTTGTTCTTTATAGACTTAGAAAATGAATCTTCCTTCTCTGAATTTGTTCAGTGACCTCAAATGCCCACAAGATATCAACATGGCTCTGGAGAGCCTTTGTGAATTCGTGCAACATTGCCTTCTGCTTCTCCTCCTTGCAATGATGCTTTCAAAGGCTCCTGCAAGGACTGGCAGTGATGGGGCTCACCCTTTTCTTACCTGACTCCACTTCCCCTTGACTTAATAAGGTCGAAAATTCCTGGTAGGGTAGAGGCCAGTCTTCTGCACCCCAAAGGCCGTGATGAAGATATTGATGATGACTGTGATGAAGATGAGAGCTGTTGCAGCATTGTTGAGTATATTTAGGCGGGGTTGTTTTGCCACATCATTCAGGTTCAAACGAGCTGTGTGATTCAGTGCAAAAAAAAAAACAACAAAAAAAACAAAACCAAAAGGTCACTTGTGTCTTGACTCCAAGTCCATAAATCCCTGCAAGCCCTCCCTTCCTGGCAAAATTCCATGGTACCCATGGAAAGGCGCATGGAACATAGGAAAGAACATACCTCGGGATTTCCTGCTGCCTCAGATCTCATGCCCCAGATAAAGAAAACAGCTACAGAGTACAGGAAAAGGTAGTATTCTGCTCACTTTAATACTGGACACATGTCTGAGGCTGAGGTGTAGGAACTCCTATTTCAGATAAAGCACTGGGCAAGCCTTTCTGAAACACTGTTAATGTACTATCTATGTGGCACCGGGAGAACTGGGGGATTGGTTAAATGTCAGTGTAATATAGGGAATATCTCTGCCTGCATTTTTTTCCGTCAGGCCCCAGCTTGGGTGAGGTGAAAGCTGAAGCTGAAACATATTATTTGCAGGCGCTGTGTGAAGGGACATGCCTTGTGATGCTAAAAGGCATGGATTAGTGATGGGATTCAGTAGGTCAGGTTGACAGTTGGACTTGATGATCTGGAAGGTCCTTCTCAACCTAGGTGATTTGATGATGCAGTAGTGCAGACCTGCATCACCAGTGTTGAGCTGCTTCCAACCTTCCCAGAGCCCTGACTGTGGACGGGAGAATTTTTTGGGGCAAGGGGCTTCTCCCTTCCATCCCCATGCCAGCAGTACTCTGTAGTGATGTGCACACCTCTGTGGCTACCTTACCAGTGATGATGAGAAGGATCCCAATCACCACCTGGAAGAAGAGGGAGATGCTGATGAGCACGATGAGGGTGGTGTAGTACTGGAAAGAAGTCCCCTGCTCCAGCACGGCTTTGAGCTGTGTGACATTTGCCATGAACAGTGCCACATCCAGCATACTCTCTGCCACGCTCTTCTTCGTTGCATAATGGTTGATGTTCATTGGCCCATTAGTGCGCAGATGAGGATTCATGCCCTGGGGAGACAAGAGAAACTGCAAGACCTGATACAACCACTAAGCTGATGGGCCTGTCCATGTCAGGCAAACTGCTCCATTCCTATGAAGGCTATCCAGAAAGCTGGGAGTTAAACCTTGCTGTTTTAAAACCTGCCAAGAGTACCCAGTTTTCCCTCACAGTCATCTTGTGGTGTTAATAGGCACAAAACACTTATTGTGATCAAGAACACTTATGGTGATCAAGAGCTCAGCAAGGTTAGGAAAATAGTGTTCTTGTGGAAAACAAGCTTGTCCAGTGCTATGATAGCATAGATTACCCAGAGCAAGGGATTTTATAAGCATTATTAAATTCTCTTCCTTCAGGGTACAGACAAACCCCAGACTTCAGGGGGATTAGAGAGAAATCTTCTTTCTGGGTTTGATGCTCAAAGGACTGTTGATGGCTGGGCTTTGTATTACAGAATCACGACGGCAGGGGTTGGAAGGGACCTCAAGAAATAGAGACTCAACCCCCCCTGCCAATGCAGGTTCTTTATGATAGTTCACACAGGTAGGCATTCAGACAAGTCTTGAATTATCTCCACAGAAAGAGACTCTACAACCTCCCTGGGCAACCTGCTCCAGTGCTCTGTTACCCATACCACAAAGAAGTTCTTTGACATGTTTGTGTGGAACTTCCTGTGTTCAAGTTTTAGGCCATCATTTCTTGTCCTATCTCTGCACACCACTGAGAAGAGCTGTCTCTGAACACTTTCTTCTGGTTGCTGTCTTAGATAATGTACCAGAGCAGATGTGACAATCCGTATTTTTTCTTGAAACCATGGGCACTATTCAATACATCAGTCACCAAGATGGAGACATGGGGTGGGATTCATCACACCTAATTTTAATCACTTATGTGTTTAAAGTTATGTTATGTGTCTCATCAGTGGAGGGAAGCTGGTATTTACAAGGTGTGGGTTGTCTCATTACAAGGTGTAGGTCATCTGGCTGCTTTTAGCCACTGGCCTCTTCTCTGTCATCCTCAGATGAGAAAAGGTTCAGATACATCTGCAAGCTGTGATCTTCTTTCTCAAGGAGAATGAAAAACAACTTGTCCATGTAGCAGACAGGCTTCAGTCTTGGCAATCAGCCTCATCTCAGTTGTCAGTGATGGCTGGCAGCCTTGCCCTCACCACTGGCTGATGGATAACTCTATAAATACAGAGCAAAGGACAGGAGGAGGCCTCTCTTGTTCAGTGGAGTGTGGAAGAGGTTCCTCTAGATGTGTGCTGGCAGTAGGGATGTACCTGCATCAAACTGAGTGCTGCTTTCTTCATTTTGTATTAGATACAGTTTAGGATGTGCACTTTCCCCCAGGCAGAACTGAAGAGAAATTATGGCTTTCGAACTGTGCTGCTGTCTCTGGTCTCCTTGTGCATCTCTGGGAACTTCTGGCTTCTGCCCTGGGCAGGACCAGTAAACCTGGGAGAGTGTTGTGTGGACATGGGGCTGCAGCGGGGCTGTATTTCAGAAGACAGTTGTAGATCTCCTTGTGAGAAAAAGATGTGCAACAGAAAGAGGAGGACTGTGTCTGGCCTGAACAACTGAGAAGTGTGGCTCCCTAAGGAGAGGCCAGCTTAGGGGTAGGGGAGTGCTTCCTCCTATTGAGCTGCATCCCCCTTTCCTCGTAGTGAGAAAGGGGACAGTTCTGTTCACCTGAGAATATGGCAACAAAAACAGACTGCCTTTTCCTTTGTTTTTGAGCTGCAGGGCTGTTTTGCTAGCTTAAAGCATGTAATTCTTGTGTTTTCTGACACTAAGGCTGCTGTTATTAAGAGGCTTTTCTGTAAGGTCTGTGTTTCTTTGTTGGGTAAGACAAGAGGTAAAGGATGCTAGAAAGAAAATGTAAGACTGGGGAGCCAATAAGGATTCTAAGACAGTATGTGTGGGTTCAGGGCTTGTTTGATGTCCCTGTTCACTGCAGGAGAATTGGACTGGATGATCTTTAAGGGTTTCTTCCACCCCAGATGATCCAGTGATGTCTGGGGCAGCAGAACAGAGGTATCTTACGTCTGGGACAAGGAAGCCAGCAGAAGGTTTCATCCTGGGGATGTCTTTAAATCCTGGATGTAGGTGCTACACCCTCTCAGCTGGCTAAGATCACATGAGCCTGTCAAAGCAGAGCACTACCTACTACCTATGTGCAAGGTTTGGAACTTGATCCCTTCTAGTGTACTCCTCGTTTCTGAAGTCAGCCTTTTGCCCGGCAGCATTACAGTGCTGAGCATTGACAATTTATCTCCTTAATGAGGAATGAAGGATGTGAGAACAAGGACTCCCTACAAATCAGACAAAGCCTTTGTCAAACAAGTGACTGGCACGAGGAGGCTGAGGCATCTGTTCCTGGTTGCTTATGTGAAGATGAATCATATCAGGAGCTTCTGACTTGAATCAAACCTTTCCCTCCACTTGAGCCTCAGCCCCCTTTACCTGCTGTGAGAAATTGGATAGAGTTGCTTGGACAGTTTCTACTGAGCCTTTTTCAAAGGAGAGGGGGAAAAAAGAGCAGATCTAACTGCAACTCTGTGTGCCTCATGGGTCTTGTGCCCCTTTTCTAGGGGAGGGCAGGCTGGAAGAGACAGTAGGATGACATGGGATTGAGAAACATGAACGATAATCCTCTTTATGGGAATGCTTTGGCAGCAGGGGATGTCTGAGGAGAAGCCCTTATTGCCCATCGATTCCAAGGGAAATGCTGGAGAATGCCAAAGGAAACGGAGACCTGAACGCAGGCTGTGCATGCTGCAGGGATCACAGCTGATAAGCAGCAGAACAGAGACATAAATAGGGCAATGGGCACTAGGGCAAATCCGGGTTCACTGTCCAGGGTATTTTTCCACAGGATTTGCTGGTTGGCAGCCTTCAGAGCACTCTGTAAACATTGGTTGCTGAAGGTTAAAGCACAAACTCATTTTCTCACAAAGTAGGAGCGGTTCCCAGTTTCCTTTCTACAGGCAGAACATGAAGAGATGCTCTCAACCAGCATTTCTGAGGGCGCAGTTATTTGCTACTCCACTTGCTTCGTTCACCTCCTATAGCTCACTGCACACCCACATACAAGCCAGGTGGGATACTGATACAGGTGAAGTTGTGAATGTACAGTTGGTGAGGCTGTCAGCAGATAGGATGAGAGGAAATGGCATCCAGTTGCTCCAGGGGAGGTTCAGGTTGGATCTTAGGAAAAACTTCTTAGAAGGAGTGGTGCTGCAGTGGCACAGGCTGCGCAGGGAGGTGGTGGAGTCACTGTCCCTGGAGGTGTTCAAGAACTGTGCAGGTGTGGCACTGAGGAATGTGGTTTTTGGTGGTAGGAGGATGTTTGGACTGGATGATCTTATGGTCTATTCCAACCTTTATATTTCTATGATTCAGAGCCTCTCCTTTACCCAGCTCCAATGCTGGCACTGCATTCCTGCTACAACTCCATACAGGAGCTTGGAAGGCCAGCAGTGAAACCTAACTGCTGGCTGGCAACAGAGGAGAGGAGGAGGGGAATCACGAGGCAGCAGAGCCCCATGAGAGCCTGTCCCAGCCCTTGCCCTCCAGCTGACACAGCAGCAGGGCTGTGCCTCCTGCCTGGTTGCAGCACTTGCAGCCTGTAGAGACCTGCTTGTCGCATCAGGCACGTGTGTATTGAGCTGCCTCTCCCAGTTCTCATCTCACTTAGCCTGTGGGACCCAAACTGCCTGCATCCTTCTGTTCTGCTCCTGCTCTCTCCTTTCATCCTCTCCCTCAACTTTTTTTCTTTGCTTTTCCCCACATTGTGCCTCTCTCCTTGTCTTTCACATATTTGTTCTGAGTTATCAAGCTCCTTTCCTTCACTTGGGGTGCTGTCTCCTTCCTCCCCACACTTTTCTCCCTTTGGCACAGCTGTATGGTGAGTTCCTTGAATCTGCCACTGCCTGTGCTACAGGGCAGCATAAATCACGTACTGCAAATAAATGTCTGACCAAACCTATATTAAACTCCCTCGTTAAGTGTATTTATGATACTGAATTGAGGGGATCCAGGAATCGGCAGGCTGCAGGGCAGAGCTGGAATGGAAGACAAGTTTTCTTTTCCTGCCTATTCCTCTGGCTACTTGGAAGGGCAGTGTTAGAGGAGTCTTCATCCATAGCTTAGGAGCAGTGGGTGGGTTTGGGGAGCATAAACATTTTGTGGCACCAGCAACTGTGCTGTGCTAATGCATGGTCCCTGGCTGCTGAACAGAAGCAATTGGGTGGGGGTGTGTAGCAGAGGGAGAACAGCTCATTGAATGCATGCGATGCGATCAGCAGCAACAATTATTTCCAAAGCCAGGATATTGGTGCTGGAGCCTCTTCAAGTCACTTGTGTTTAGCATCCAGAGCAGATTCCTCCTGGTGTTTGGGAGAAGAAAAAGAGAAGGCAAGAGAAGGCTAAAAACAGCTTTACAGGAAGAGTGTGTGGGGGGGAAAGTAGGTTAGCAGAGAAAATGAGTTCATAAAAAATGGAAGAGCAGCCGGGAGGCACAACAGTAACTACTGCATTGTGCTTACAAAGCTAAACATGTTAAGATGAATAAATCCCCAAGCTGGATGGCTTATGGCCTAAAATATTAAGAAAAGCTGGGCCAGATCTCAGTCTGCAGCCAGATCCAAAGAGCAAATGTGTTTGCATCAATCATTTTGATTCTTAAGCGTTTCTTGGGGGAGGTCTTAAATCTGAACTTCTTCCACGTTGAAGGGTGTCTGCACCCTTTGCTGTGGGTCAGGCTTATTTCTGAAACTGGGGGAACAGACTGATAGCTGTGCAGGGTCAGACCAAAGGGCCAGCTCCCCTCTGACTCTGGTTCCTAGCAGATGCCCGGAGATAAAACTACTGGAATAGGACAAGCTCAAATAAGGTTCTCTTGTGATATGTTGGCACAGTGACCTGCAATTATTCAGAACTACCCCAGCAACGAGCCAACGCTAATTTTCATGGTGGAAAGCCTCATTTATGCATCTCTGCCTTGCTAT